GAATAAATATTGCTTTCTTACTCAGCTGGCTTGTTCTTTGAATGGATGTTTTTCCTTTTCAGCAAAATCTCCCTCAAAACAGTTTCCAATGCCCAAGGTGTTGTTTCAAACTGCAGGTTTGAACTCTGTGGCAGTGAAAGCAGGAGATTAGTGTCCCCAGCTCAAGGCAGGCACCATGGGGACAGGTGCCATGCACGTTTCTGCCAGTGCACATTAATCTTCATCTGCAGCATTCCTGCTATTCCAGTCCTGGGCCCCTCTTGTGCCAAATTTTATAGTTTATTTCTTTGTAGCTACAGCAGTGCTCGCAGTGGGGTAGAAGTTATTGTGAATACCTTTTGTGCATTTTCAGTTTTCACCTTTTCCTCTGCTGGCTGGATTGGTCTCCTCTTTGGTGCCTGCTATGAATGGAAGGGCCCAGACATGAGGCTGGCTGGCTCTGCACTAATCCCATGATTCTAAACTATCTGAATGCCAAAAGCAGAGAACCCCCAAGTTAATTATTGCTTATGATGACTGACTCAGCCTCTCTAATCCTTTTCCATCCCCAGTCCTTGTCACGGTGCCGCTTGACCTCCTTCCCCAGGGCTGCACTGTGTGGTGTGTGCCTGCCACGCTGCCACTGCAGCCCAGCCCGAGGAGGGGAAATCATTCTGAAAACTTCAGGTTCACACCAAAATTTGCTGGGAGGAGGGATGGTGATGTTGAGCTCCCTGGACATAAAACTGGGTATCTCATGCAGCTGCTCACCCCTCTCCTGCTGTGCTTGCAGCAGAACCACTTCACCTTTCAAAGCAGAGAGGAGGACCCAGTTCCAGACAAAATGGACATTTGTGTGCCTCCAGCACTGGGAGTAGAGATACAATCTCCTGCCACCACTACGCCTGTTCTGAATCTGCAGGAGGTCACTTTAATTTCCTTTCATGGCATTTATCACCCCTGGCAGAGGGATAAGGGCAGCAGAACACTGCTGGGTGACTGATGAACACATGATGATGAACACGTGGTGTACTGCTCTTCATTGAGGACTGAGGTTGTGCATCCCTCATTCTAGTACATCCTGTTACAGAAAAAAAAAATGAATTATGTTTTTCGCTTCTACTTAGCTCACCTTATATATTACACCGAAGAAATGAAATATGCCAAGTACTCGTAACACTAAAAAAGTATAAATTTGGCCTTTGTAAAAAATCCTGTGAGCTGATACATTGATTTCTAACATTTTTCCTCTGTTGTTGCAGGCCTGAACAGAATTTTTCCTCTGTTTCTTGCAGAGTCCCCTTCTCGTGCAGAAGATTTATATTAATAATTTATATTAAATTAATAATTTGTACATTACCAGCAAGGCAAAATAAAGTACAGAACTATAAACCACAGGTATTTCCAGTTTTAAGCAGTAAAAAAAAAATTTAAAAAAAACAACTCAATTTTAGTTCCTTAGAGCATCCAGCTGGTGGTGCCAAATAGTAACTGCAAAGGAGATTTTTTTTTTTTTTCCTGTATTTTGAATGCTTTGACTACAAATTGTTTGGATAAAGTCTTAGACTCTTTTTAGCAGCTGTCTGTCTCACAGTGAACTTAGCAGGTCAGCTTCTAAAAGTCAACTGTTGTGTGTTTATGCCTCAGACCCAGGGAGATGACCCCTTCTACTCTGATTTATTTGAAAGCTCACTCCGTGCATGGGCTGTAGAAGATGTATATACATGTACATAATGATGAAACAGTGGAAGATCAGGCCCAGGACATTTTGGCCAGGCATAATATGTTTATTACTTCATAAATCACAGGAAACCTTAAGAACACACACACCTGTTTCCCTGGGTGGTATCTCTGTACCTGGCATTTATAACTTACGTGCCTGGTGTCCTGCCCAGGCCCTTTAAGAGTCCAGCCTGCTGATGAGTCAGCTTGTGACCTTCTTTTTCTGTGAAGTTCAGTGGTTAAAAGTATTTAGCTTGGAAGAAGATACCTGTTTTCAAATTTAAAAAGAGCTGCAAGGGGGAAGTGGTGAAGGAACACCGAGTTATGTTTCATTGGCCAAACACTGACCTGTGCAATGTGCTGGTGAGAGCAGAAAATGTAATGCACCGTTGGCTGCAGCCACAGTTTGTTTTCATTCTTTTTGATATTTGATTATAAGGGTTGGCCACTGAAACAGAGCAAGAAAATGGTATATGCTGAGTGAACACTGAGAAAGACCTGGCTCCAAAAAGGCATAAGATTCCCACTTTGCCACTTTCCAAAGTAATTCCTTACTTGATTCCAGGGATGAAGGCACTTCAGTATGGGTGTTTATGGTAAAATCGTGACATGAAAAGGAATATCAATTATATTGTAAAGAAAAAAATTGTGTAATTTCTGTTGCAGTAAAATCGATCAGTGTGATTGGTTTGCTCAGGATTTTAAAACACACTGTGCAGTAGAGATATTAGAAAACCAGTTCACTCTGTTCTGAGATCACATGTTCAACAAGAGTGACTTTGTGTTGTTGTGCTGTGCTGAAGAACGCCTCATAAAATCTCCCAAAGTATTCCCTGTGCCACTCTGAGAGCTAATGATTTTACTCAGACTCATTAAGAAAATTAAATCCTCCTCAAAGAACTAGGCCCAAACATTCTGCCAATGTTTTGAAACCCAGCGCTGCACTCTGCCCTGGAGGCTTTTGTGCAATCCAGGTGTGGTGAAGGTGTGAGGATGGGGCTGGAGCACAGCTGGATGAGCACTCGCAGCTCACCTTTACAGCAGCTCTGCAGGGAACTGGGGAGTGTCGAAGCCCACCCTGGGTCAGGGGTGGCTCCGTGTGGTGGAAAAGTCTCTCCTCCAACCCGAGCTGCCAAAGAAAGGCTCAGCAGTCTCTGTTGTTCGGTCTCAAGGTTGTTTATTGCAAATTATCTAAAAGATTTTCTCCTTGGGCTGCTGTGGTTTGCTCACAGCTCAGGCAGAGGCACACACACACCCTGACATCCTCTCTGACTCCCGACTGCTTCTTCTCTCCCCCTCTGCCCAGGGCTGCTGCTGTCTTTTATATGGTACATTACGTGTTACATGTTTATAGTTTTTCCCCAATGCCTATTACCTATATTAAATGGTGCCTTTCTACTCTAAACCAATCTGTGAGTGCCAACATCAGCAAGAACATGGAGGTAAGGAAGAAGAAAGAGGAAGGACAGGACCAACCAAAATCCCTCCGTCTTAAAACTTCTGACCCCCATGTACAAAACCAAACCCCCCCCTGTACAGCACTCAAAAATTCTTCCCTTTACTTTGTGACTACTTCTACTATAATATCTAAACTTTTGTAACTTCTTGTTCTTCCTGCAAGGTTGGTAAATCATTCCATGGTTCAAATACAAAGTCACAGCTGTTTCCAGCTGCCTGCTGGGGCCCAGAACATCCAAAAATGTCTGAGGGACATTTTGAGTTCCCACAGGGGAGGTCATTTAAATCCCCACAGAAACCCCTGTTCTTCTCTCCACAGAGCCTTGAATCTGTCTTACAGCCTTGGCCTGGGATGCAGCAAGGAAGAAAGGCAGGACTGGCTCTCCCATCCCCATCCATAGGGAGGTAAAGCTGCTCAGCCCGGGCTGTGTGACTGCAGCAGGGACAGAGGGTGGCTGCCTGTCCTCATTTCATGTCCAGCCAGCCACCTTTTGATGAAATCAAGAGGATAAATGTACCATGGATGGAACTTCTCAAGCTCCCTACGTGCTGCTCAGTTAAACGAGGCTTTGCTTTTCCTGCAGGCCAACAAATAGTTTCCTTTTTCCTTTTGATGTCTCAAGACTCTGTTTTATAACCTGCCTGCCTTTCCTTAATTCCTTTTGATAAAAGAGCCTTTTATCATGCCTGCTGAAATGGTTGGATAGGTTTATTTGCCATGCCAGGATGAAAATAAATAAGCAGCTTTTTTAAACCCCTTGCATCAGTTCATTTTTCCATATGTCTCATCAATGGATTTTCACAATATCATGGGAATGTCATGATTTTTGGTGGGGTTTTTTTATTGAGCTCCAGCTTCTGGATTCTTTACCTAAAAATAAATATGAAAATACCTTACCTATTAAGTTGTGGTTGCTGAAAAGCACTTAATAACTTGCCCAGTTTTATGTGAAAAGCAAATTACAGGCATATTTATTGTGAGAAAGCTTCAGACTAGGGCCATGATTATAAAATGCTTGGGATCAATGATATTTCAGGCAAAGTTTCTTGTTCTTTGTTAGCAGGCAAGCAACAAGATAGGATTACTGAAACATTTTGGATTAGGAATTTAATGACTATTTAGACTGACTGTGTTTACTGACTGTGCTGTCTTAGGCACGTGGTAGTTTTCAACATATCTAGAAATGTGACTAATAATTTAGCCAATTACTATAAAAATTAAATGTATTTATGGGCTTGTCAGATGATCTCCTGCTTATGAGTTTTTCTAAACCAGGAATATCAGAGCTACTTAATGAGTGTGGCCTTTAGTTACTGGGAAAGACCTGCAATGAACACTGTATTTTAAAGAATGACTGGAAAAAATAGGCTTTGTATAGCTTATTAAAAGTAATTTTTTTTATTAGATATAGAATTGTAAAAAAAAAACCAACAAAAACAAAAAACCAACCAAACAACAACAACCAAAAAAACCCCAAAAAACCTCAACATTCAAGGTTTTGCTTGGATGAGTGTTTTAATCTTTTATTCCAAGCTGTTGTGTGACTTGAAAACAGCAACCTATTTTTATACCCAGGCACCTTTATTTTAAACAAATAACCTTGCACTCAAGTTTTCAGTTCTAACCTAATTAACACAGAATTCTGTGCAGTAAATAATGGTAACATCTTCTCTTCAGACAGAAAATATAGAAAGATACTTCAATTAGTGCCTTGATTTTTCATTTGTCTAAACCACATTTTAGAAACTTTATCACACATTGGAGAAGTGTTACTGTAGACCTTCAGGCTGCAAGGATTTAAGTACATATGGGATCTTGATGGACTCTAAGATGTAATTTAGCAAGATCATTTATTTTATTACATTATGACATATTTGATTTTAGCCTCTGCTCCTGTATTTTCTGACTCATGCAGCTTTTCAAGACATTAGGATTGGAGCTTTTAATAAGCTATTTTCATGTGAAGGTTTGTCCAAAACCTTGAATTTTGCACCAAACCTCCTGTCATGAGAGAGGGGGGATTTTATTTGTTTATCAGGACTGAAATCAATACACAAGCAAGCAGAGATGACACATTTAGCTGTGAATCTGCTGCTGTAAAACAGTTTGGATTCCACGAGCTCAGTTCTACAAATGCTGTGTCTCTGCAGCCTGTAAAAGAAGAGTTGAGTCAGACTGGAAATGAGCTAAGAGGGACAACAGGAAGTGATTTCTTCTGAAGAAACATCCGCCCCAAATGTTTCCCTCACCAGGGCAAATATGTTTGACTTGTATTTATAAAATAGATGGATTGATTTTATAAATAAAGGACAGAATCTGAACAAAGATTCTTAATGACATGCTAAAGCTTGTTCCTTTATACTGCACTGTTCACTGCTTGAACAACTACACATAGTTTTCAGACAGGCTGGAATTTATGAACTTATTATTCATACTCTGGTCTTGCCCATTTTTTTTCCTCTAGTATCTGAATCTTAACTACAAAACTGGCACTAATTACTGTTGGTTTTTTCCCCTGGTCTCATTTTAATTGCAGCGAAAAAGTAAAAAAAAGAATATTTGTAATAACTGGCATTCATCCTTCGTGCATAAATTGAATAAACCAGATTCTAGATCCAAGCAGTTGTTTTCTTCCTCTTTTATTTCAACAACACTTTTAATTTTTCTGTGAGTGTTTATTCTCCCTGTGAGAGAAGATGTGTAAGCAACAGGGCAGAGGGTTTCTAATGGCAAATGTGGGCCTAAACACAGCAGGGCTGTAGCAGATCCCCAGGCAGAAATGCCCATGGAAAATTAAATAACCTTCTCAATTATCCAATATCAAACCTAGCAGTGACCAAAAATACTTCCCACCTGACACATCTATAATCTGCCCAATTTTTTAGAATATACTTTTTTTGGACACCTTCTTCTGCTCAGTTTCCCCCTCCCTCCTCCCCGCCCCTCTCACCCCCGATAACCACACAAAACTTTTCAAAAAATGCAACTGTTTTCCCTTAAATTAAACTTCCATAAGGCAAAAGGCCAAATCCACAGCCAGAATTTTTCAGGTGGCAAGGGCAGGGTAGCCTAGCTCAGCTGAGGGCTGCAAACGCTCATTGCTCAGCTTTTAAATTAAAGAGCAGCTTCTCTATTTCAGCTCTCCTGTTTCCAGCATTATCTTGATGGTTGTCGCAGGTAAAAGCCCCACAGCATTTGCATGCTGAGGTGTCCAGTTTGTAGGATGAAGGTTAAAAAAAGGAAGCTTAAAAACAAAAGTGGTAAAGCACTAAAAGAGGCATTGGGTCAGGGCAGAGTGCAGAATATTTGTGTGAGAAGAAGGACTGCTATAGCCCAGTCCCTGTCTTTTGCAGATTTACTTGGCTTTTCATGCTGATTAAAATCCTTTGAGGCTGATAGGAATGAATATTTGTGGGTGAATTTAAGCTGATATCTAAGGCCTGAAATGCTGCATATTCCTAATAGGTTCTCTCTCTTTTTCCTCGTTTCCTCTGTACCCCAGATAGAGATAACCAAAGCTGGAATTTGTTGAATTTTCCAGTTCTGACCCAGCTCCTCCGACATCCCATTTAACCACTCACATGATAAAATTATTTGCAAATGTTAAATCTTTGCAGGATTATGATCTAAAGGAGTATTAGAGCCTGATCCAGCTACTTCAGAGGCCTGCCCTAGATTTTGGTGATCAGTGTATCAGAGCCATACTAAGGGGATTAAAATGCTGCCAGTGCTTACTGAAGGTATGGTTTGCCTAAAAGCACAGTCCAGTGTCTGACAGATCCAGGGAACATTACATGGAGCAGCTCACCCTGCTTGGGCTGGCACCCCTCTGATGGGTTACAGTGGCTCCAGTAGCTTTCCCTTTGTTTATGCTTTCATCATCCAAATACTTAGCAGTGTAAATATTTCCTCTGTGTGGCTGCACACAGAGATATGGATTTACTTATACAGTGTGTGAGGCCACGTCTTGGAGAGGTGTCAGGGGTTTGCCAGTGCCAGTGTGACACAAGTGACAGGTAGGGCACCACCTCCATCCACCTGCACCCTTTCACTTTACCTTGCTGCTTTCTCTGTGTCAGGAGAAACTCCCCTTTGTTTCACAGGTGTGGCAAAGCAGAACTGAGAAAATGATACAGGGAGTGATTTGGCTCTTCCTTCTTTCACCTGATGGCAGGAGATACAGCCAACAGTGGGAGAGGGATGCCCTGAATGTCCAAAAACCCTCCCAAATCTCTTTTTCTCGTGGTGAGTCCTTTTTTTGTGTGTTGTAAATCTGCTATTGCACCAGAAAGGCTGGAGGCCCAGAAAAGGAAAGCAACGTGCCAGACTGACTTTATGTGCAGAAGAAAAAGTAATGTAATTTGCCACTTATTTCAGACCTACAGAAATGATGTTGTCCTGTCTGATATGATGATAGCCTTGTTATGATGTGTTATATGGTGTGCATGTGTATCCAATCACTTTCACACCCGTCACAAACACACACTAGTTCTGCTAAGAACACTGAGGGAAAAAAAACCCCTTTTATCACTTCTCTTTTGTGGTCAGGGTCTGTGATGTAGCTGTGTAGCATAAGGGCCTGAAAACTTTGTGGCAGCAAGAATCCAAGTTCCCTTTCCAGACCTCAGTGTCTAGTTTAAGAATACTTCCTTTCTCATTATGTTACATCATAAGGAACAAATGATACTAACTGGTGTAAAATAATCATTCTTGCATAATACCTTTACCTTTCATCTTGGATTTCAAAGCACTTTAGAATCATTAATCTTTGAGTAAAGTCTTCCTCACAGAGAAGAAATTATTCTAAATACTTTTACATCCTGTAGAAGATGAGAGGAGAAGCCAAGTTTACTCAGACAGGAACTGGGATTAGAACTCGGTGCATCTGCTGTTCTTGAGCATTTTTCTTCCTTTCAAATGTATCTACAGATCCAAAAGACCGAATAAATATTGACATGTAGGTGGTTTTGGTGCATATCTGAAACCTGATGCTGCTGGGTTTAAATTTAGGATCTCCAGCTGACACAGTTCTGTTGCTGTGCAGAGACATAATTCTGTGGTGTCACGTGTGTCACCACAGCTGTCCTGTGTGCTTGTCCCACAAACAGCTTTCTGCACAAGCTGGAGTTTGTTCAATTTGCATTACCAGTTCAGCATATCGGCCCAGAAGTGTTTGCAACAAGAATAAGTCTTAACTAGATGAAGAATCTTCTCCCATGTGGATAATCAGTGGCTCCTAATCCACTCCATCATTCTATGTAAATTATATAAACAAAAATCTATCAATGGGACAAGAACAGAGCTTGACTCAGAAAAGGTTTCAGAATATGAACTGCAAGTTACTGGAAGATTTAAATTCTTCATAAAACATAAAATACCGCTGAGACTTTTCAAAGCCAAACATTATTTGTCATGACCTGTGCGCTGATTTTGCCCTGATTATTAGTGTTGTACTCATTTTTGTTCAAGGGTGAATAGGCTCAGGGGCAGTGTAAATGTGGACTTACCGTGTGAGAACCAGGAATGTCAACCCTGTGAATGAAATTATTTCTTCTGATAGATGTAACTTTGCCACAGAAATCCATAATATCAGGTTTTGACCCCTGCATAGCTGCAGTGCAGCCTTCCACTATCTGCTTCTGCAAAGCCTTCATCACCCTTGTGTTTGTTTCTGGTGACCAAAAGCTGCCTCTTCAATATTACATATCTTTAGAAGGAATAGGGTTGGCAACAATTCATTGCCAGAAAACTATCTGGTACTGAGGCCTTCTAAATATAACCACTTCCTGAATTTACTGATTTTATTTTTTTTTTTCTTTATATGGAATTACTTTTCAGCTACTGTATTGGACCCAGGCTGTTGTGCTATTTTTTAATCTTCCCATTGAGGAACAGTATTTCAAGCATTTGAACATTTTCTTTTCCCCACTTGTAGGAGAGTCCTAGGCTTTGACCCTGGTGCCACCCGAGATGTTTTGAAACTTGCCCACACCTTTATTTACTTCAGGCTGGGTTACTGTGAGCCCTGCCAGACTTCCTGCTCAGTTACTGCTGTTAGAAGGTTTTACTACAGTCAACACAGTGAGAGCAGAAATTTATAGTATTTTTTTTAATTTTCTAATCATTTTATTATTGATTATTTGCATTATGTGATGACATGTCCCTCTTGTAATTCTTTTTATACAAAAAAACATATTTTCAGCTTTGATCGTAGTCCAATATTTCAGGGATATAGCTGGGATGAATAAAGAATTTTTTGACCAGGTAGCATTTTTACTGAATTGTAGGATAAAATGGACTAAAACCAGATGATATATCAGTATTTAAACTGGGAAAAGGTATGGATCAGGAGCTTCAGAATAGTTACTTTAAGACTGACAGAGGCAAAATCAGACCAAAATCAAGATGGTTTGCAAAAGGAAAATAAAGGATTGATGGTAACATAAACAGTATCAGTTGACAAAGATTTATGGGTGATAGAGCTTGCAATGGACATGTAACATGTATTTGTCAGTATGGCTTATAAACACACCTATGTTGATTGAATATATGATTAAATTATCCTAAGAGCATAGGACATTCTGATTAAAAAAAAGAAAAGAGAAATGCAATGTTAAATACCTGGTTCAATGATAGTAAAGGAAAGACGACTGTCAGCTCCATAATCAAGCAGAAGAAACACCCTAAATTTGGAAGTAGGAACTAGATATGTTCAAGCTACAAATAACCTGCAGCAGCAGGAGTTTTTTTTTATTCTGAGGCAAGCCAGCGCTTGGTGCAATTTTCTTTGGTATTCAGAAGATCTTTAATAGTTCAGCCTTTTTAATTAAGGTTAGAATACTTCTAAAAGGGGTACTATAATGTTATATGCAGGAAGTACATAGTTAAAAATTAACAGCTGGTGTTAGAAATTCAAATTAAATGAAGATAAACTTCCTCAGGTATTCATTTATGTATGTATCTTCCTTTGAGTCCTATTTTCTTTCTGATTATCACTAATCTCTGCTATCAGGGGTATATTCAACCTGTACTGAACTGGTAGAAGACATGGCTCTATTCCTGTTATTTGCTATTTCACACAGACATAAAACAATTCACACTGAATTTTATCACGACTGGTAAAGTAGTGAATTTTTTTTAAACAATTCATTACTTTGAGTCTTTTAATGTCCAGTTTCAGTAAACAGCATGACTTAAGATGATCCATTTGCTTTGCATGACAATTGAATTACTGTTGGATAAGGTGCTGCATCTGTGGCAGCAGCAGCCCCCAGCCAAGAGGACATCACTGAGCTCAGAAATCATTTTTTAGCCTGTCCTATCTGCGGCATCACCTTCTTGTGATATGAGAACTGAAGAATATGGTTGTAATTTGTTGTCAGAACATAAGACATTTTCTCATCACCCAGATGCAGAGCTGATCCTGCAGCAGTGAAGTCTGTGGAAGCGGGATGAGGCTAAATGGGTGTTAGTTAGTCTTAGTGAACTTTTCATGTGTGCAAAAAACATGCTCAAGCTGCATCCCTGCAGGTTAGGGGGCAGTGAGGATTTTTCAGGGCAAATTAGGCACGAGGCTTTAATTTGACTTGTCAGTACCTCAGTAAATGCCTATTCTCCTGTGGAGTTTGTGCTTCTTTTGGAACTATCTCTGGCATAATTGAGAGATCCTTGCTTCCGAAGCATTTCTTAAGCGAAGGCCAGCTGATATATTGCTCCTTGGTGAGGGGTTTAGTTGTTCTCTCTGACAGGAAATATTTATATCAACAGCTGTTTGTTGTGTATCTTCATTTGCCTTGTCCCAGTGAAGTTTGCTACTGTGATTTCCCAGGAGAGGTGCACAGAATTACCTGTGGGGGGTATGTGACCAACTGAACTCAAGCAGGTTTGCTCTTTGCATCCACATCCAAACTCATCATATCAGGGCATGGAGAAAGTGCAGAGGAGAAACTAGACAAGTTAACCTGAAGGACTTTTTAACAGCACAAGACAAACAGGGGCCTTGGAAAGTAACAGTGATCCCCAGTGTTACTTTTTGTTCTGCACACAACTTATTTTGCTCCATCTATCTAATCTGAAAAATGCAGTTGTATAATGACTTTTTGTTAAATAAAAGGTACATTGTTGAACTGTTTAATTGTACTTTGGATGACTTGCTTGTATTTTCAAATCCTTATTTCCTAAGAATTTAAAAGTAGATGGAATTTTCCAATGTCTCTCTTTAATTATTTCACTTATGTTTACTCGGGGAGTTTTCTTTTAATCCAATTTCCTCCCTCTTTCCCTCTTTCTACCTTCTTTGCCTCTTTCCTCTCTGTTTCAGAATGCAGCACAGGCATTCGGACTTAGGCAGCTGTCCAAATCTATTTTAAAACAAAAATTTAAATCAAAACTTCTTGCAGCTATAGGGCGAGGGTCACGTGTGCTTGCCCTGGGTCAGCAGCAAAACTTGTGATGATGTTGCAGACCCATCTCTCTGTCCACTCCCAGTAAATAAATGCATAATGTCAAGCTATAAAAACGTTATTTTTCAGAAGAAGTCAAGGTGACCTTGTCCCATATATGACCAGCTGAAAGCACTTGGGCTCAGAAAAAAAGAGGGAGGGTAGGTATATATTACCTAAGAAACATATTTTTTCTTGATTAGAAGAAAAGACTTAGCAAAGCATATCTAGAGTTAATGAGCAGTTTCATTATTACCATAAAAATATCATTGGGTATCTGAGACAGAAAACTGGAAGCTGAAATGCCAAGAAGAGATGGGAGAAGCCACAGCATTTTGAAGACAGTGTCTTTTGTAAGAGTAAATTCATTGCTGTAATTTTTAAGAGCAAGTTCACATCTGTCAGTTTTCCATACTGAACCCCCAGTGAGCCTGCAGTGATGTAGAAAGTTTGGTACTTGAGACAAAGCTTGGTGTAGAGATAGGTGTTAACACATTAGAAACTGCACTTGTAGCTGAAAACTTGCTGGTATTTTGATTTTCCCCTCGGATGGTTCCATGGTAGTTATCCCTGCATGCCTTCCATCTGCTCTGGAGCCCTGCTGGGGCTGCTGTGGCAGGGAGAGCAGCTCCTGCAGATGAAAGAGCAGCAGTGATAGTGCTGGAATGTGCCCTCGGGTTTATCACAGTGACATTGCCAGGCAGGCGACACCTCATCCTTATTTTTCCAACCACGTCTGGCACGAAATCAGGGCAGTGCAGGATGGGGGCATCCATTGCCATGCCAGCCATATGCCCATAAATGGCCTGTGAAGACTCTCAATATGAATTTAACTTAGTTAATGTGGAAAAAGTTTAATTTCAAAACCCCTCTCTCATTTGTAGCTGTTTACCACGTTCCTCTGCCACTTCCAACCTGTTTTAAGGATCTGCTTGAAAAAAAGACAGTGGCATTAGAGAAAGGCTGTTTAGTCTCTCTGGAAAAAAAAACTAAATAAATTGAAGTAGATATCAAATGAAGGTAATTTTATAGCTGTGGATCATGTGTGTTCTTTTGATTAATAGACCACTGTCTCATAAACTCTAAGATGTTATTCTGATTCCAAAGGGTTGGGAATATTCTGGGGTATTTTAGTGCAAACAGATTAGGACAGGACTTGCAGGTGATGCTCTCTTTAAGCTAAACGGCTGAAATGCCAGAGATGTGGTGGTTTTACATCTGGACAAAAGGAAATACTTCTGGTTTTCAGCTGTGGAGTGTGGAAGGATTTCTGTGGTTGTAGCCATGATGAATCATGCAAATTGCAGTTATGTATCAGTTCTTGTTTTAGGATGGCTCTCCATCCTTAGGTTTTGATAATGATCTTGAAAGGAGAAGTGGGAATGCTTCTGTTCTGTATTCCCGTTCCTTCTCTATTTTTTTTTTTTTTTTTTTGCAGATTAAGGTGCTGGAGGAGGTTTATGAATGATAATTTATAGAGTGTTCATTTTTGTGCATAGAAAATGTAGCAACATCTCTCATATTCTAGAGCTGAAAAATTAGCAGTGAGTTAGTAAGTAAGCTGAAAATTACAATATTAACCAGTTGTCTGTAACTCAAATATAGTTACTTATGCAAGCTATAAGTATAAAGTACTTCTTCATAATAATGCCCACCCCAGACCAAAGAAGAGCAGCAGGAGACTTGTCCATGTTACAGTTTTTGGCCATTGCTTTTGAAATATAATATAGTTGTAGAGTAATTACGGAGACAGAAAGCATTGCACAGTGAATGAATGAACAAAATATTATCATTCTTGGAGAACTAAGCGCTCCCAATGACAAGGTGAACAATTTCTAACATGTACCTTTAGAACCAAACAAAAACAAACAAACAAAAAAAGGAATCAGTTTAAAGAGTGTTTTGACTCATCAGTCAAGGTTTGAGCATGCTCATAATTTTCTCCCTGGTTTTGAATCCCATGTTTGGGAAGTGACTGGACTGATTGGCTGAGTCATTTTCTGGTGTCTGAACAGGAAACATACTGCAAAAGGCTTAGGGGGGTTATAAATAGAACATGTTCTGAGGGAAAATTGTTATTCAGACACCAAAGTCTGTTGCTACATGACTGCACAGATGTTGTCTGCTGTACACCACCAGCATTCTTAATGAAAGTTTTCCTTTTTTTTTTTTAATTTAGATCCCTTTAATTACTTAACACTATTTCTTTACATCTTTATTTTATTTAGATGAATGTGTAAGGAGAGTAATCACTTCACAACTTCAAAATAAAATGCTTTGATAGCAGTCCTTTTTGTTTTCATGGCCTGTGCTTTTGATTCCCAGAACATGTAAAAAGGAGCTATGTTGTTAACACAGGCAAAAAAATTGTTGGATAAGTAATGGAAATAAAATCAAACTCCTATAATTTACAGCTGGACCTGAAGCTAACCCAAAGCCAGTAGGAGTCTTTCCACTGACTTAATTAAACTTTGCATATTTGTGCTCAGAAGTGCTGGTAATAGAGCCCAGCCAAACCCTGAGAGATGTTCCAAGCCCTTGTTCTCAGCTGACCCCCTTTGGCCAGAGCTGTCAGGGTGAAAGTGGAGCTGCACGCCGTATCAGGGTCAGACAAAATTAAAATCTGGAACAAAAAATTACAGCAGAAACACTAAACCAGAAAAGGCTACATATAAATAACAGTCAATGGCAGCATTATCATGGGCTCTTCTGCCTCCAGGCAAGCACCTACACATTTATAAGTAATGACATGCAGACATTAGTTCGGTTTAAGATGCTTATTGGTGCTTTGTAGACTAATGTTTTAAGCAAAACTGAATGCAAGACCTGGCAAGTTTCCAAAGTCTGGATATGTTGTGAAATAAAAAATACAAAAATATAAATTTTTTCTCCATGAGCACCCAGCAAAATGTACATGCTTGCTAAAAACCCTAACACTGTGCACTAAGAAAAATGCCCTACTCTGTCACTACCTGGAGTAAATTATAAGAGAAGTGGCATGAAGGAAAGCAGCCCTTTAACTCAATTCATTAAAATGGGAGCCTGCTCGAAATGCAGAATTTTTTTTCAATAAGGAAGTTTCCTCTGTGAAGTTTCGCAATAAACCATCATCTGAAACAGTCTTGGATAGCATTCATATTGTATTGAAATTCTGTATGAATTATCCATGTACAAATAAACTTTTGTTTACCATCTGATAACAAATACTTGTGTCTGTGAGTGAAAGTAAAAGGCCAGTGATCTCTTGA